ATTTAAAAACAACAATTATTTCTAAAATTATCAACGTTTCAACATATTTATTAAATGAAATATATAACCAAATGTTCAAGAATTATATACGCATAACTAATATATAAGAAATAATACAAGTAAAAATATTTTTGTATAATAAATATTGTAACAGTAAATAGTTAAAGTTAACTTTATATGCATTTATAATAAAGTAAACTATGTTTATATTAAAACCATTGATTTTACCATAATTTCAAAAATTACTTCTTATAGAAAATAAATTCATACAATATTTAATCACTCGCGATTTCATTTATACAAAACTATAGATATATTCTAAAGGATTCGATAAAAGATTATGTATGAAACCTTTCAAGATTTCTAAAATTATAACTTGAGTTTCTTTTTCATAAAATATGTAAATTCATTTATTCATTACATATCTCGTAGATAGACTAAATGAACCTGTATATGAGTAAAACCAAAAGCCGTTCACGTTTGTCGTACAGGAAGGTAATATATTTATATGGGTAACGTTAACAGAGTGGATGTGGGGGAACTGTCGACGCTTAATTAGGTCGCTTTAATTGCGGCGCCCAGTTTGCTTGACAGTTTTTCTTTTGTATAGAGTAAATTGTGCGGATATCATTAAGAGGAGCGAATCATATAGTGGAAATTTCCTCCTTCTTTGCAAAACTTGCATACATCTGTATTTTGCATTTCACCTTTGACCTTCAGTATATTTTTACTTACTTTTATCCTGTGATGAGGAATTACCGCCCACAATCTCAGCAAAAAAAAATTATTCCTTCGTCAAAATGCTTCCATATCAATATCTATACAGGATTTGTATACCATGTATATTTTACATATAAATGAAATATATAATGTTTTAGTCTTTCCTTTTCTTAGCCTTGCCTTTTCCTCGTTTTGTCTCATCTTTAGAAGAGTGAAAATTGTCGTAGCTGATCAGTAATATAATGTTGATTAATTGTAAATTAGTTATTAACTATGAAAAATAATATGAAATAAATAATTTGAGGATAAAAATTTATTATAATTAATTAAATTAGAAAATAAAATAAGTAATTAATACTGGAAGTATTTTATGACAATGTCGTCTTTATTACAAACATTTTTTTTACTACAATTACGATTACTGTCAATAAACAAAAAAATTGAATATTTGATAAATGTGTTTCTTATTTAAAAATTGAAAAAGAATAATTTTACATAATCTTTTAAACTATTTCCTTACATTAATCATATACAAATTTTTTATATATATAGTTATTTCTACTTTTATAACTTTTGATAAATTTCATTGCTGATATTTACAACCTGTACGTCATTACTTCAATTAAACAAATTAATTAAAACTTTGGTTTTCTGGTACTTTTATTGACGTATTAAAAATTATGATTTCGAATAAAATATATTAAATTAAACTAATCAAATTAAAATATTTTAATAATCTTAACAATTAATTGAAGATTAAAATATCAATGCATAGAAAAATAAAAAGTAGCAACACAAAATGTTATATTAGAGACAAGGAACGTGAATTATTTCAAATATAAATGCAGTTGAAAAATGTAAGAGTTTTAAAAACTAATTCTATCAGTATCTTACATGCATATTTATACATGTTCCGATTATATTATTTTCTCATTTATATTTTAATTACTTTTAGATATTTATCATACATCTATATTTAAATTGTATTGTTGTAAATTGTAAAATATGAGATATTAAATTAGAATTTTTTAAAAAACAGTTAATTTAAAATTGTTTGTATGTTTTATTCTCAAATAATTCAGATCTAATATTTAATATAATTATTTACTATACGTGATAATTATACGTATATTAATAGAATAAATCCCTTAATTTATTCGATTTTGGTTAAAATAAGAAAATTCAATATAATTATTATTTATATATTTATTATATTTATTATATTTATTATATTTATTATATATTTATTATAAAGATGTTCATTATTATATTAAATATTGGATTTTAATAAAATCAAATATATATATTTCATATTATAGACATAATGAATTGATAATAGTAAAAATTACGAATTGTAAAATATTTACTTAAGTAGTTTCCATTTATAACTCTAATGGATTCGTAATATTATCACAGATTAAAATACATTTTCGAATAAAGTACCTATTAACAATTAAAAATATTCATTGTATGTACATATGAATCATAATTTTTTTGTATGTATACTAATTGATTTTGTATATATAATAATAATTAATATTATTAGCTTTTGTCATTGTTTAAAATATATATATTCAAACATACAACTTGCATACATTGGCCTTTTAACTTGTAATAGGTTGTTATATAATGAACAACTCATAAATTATATTTCAAACTTATGTTTATTTCATTTTTAAAGATGTAATTATTATAAATTTTATAAAATAAGTCGAGCCTAAATACTCTTTAGGAAATATAGTTTCAACTTTGAATAAATTTCATTCATTACGAACTCATATATTGTATATTTTCAAAAGCATTAATATATAAAAAAATATTGCTTATTTTAAAAAATTAATGCAGAATTCAAATATTTTATATACAGAGTAGAATAAATCACTTTAGTAAAATATATTAAACCATTATTGACATGTTTATTGATGCACACACACACACACACACACACACACACACACACACACACACACACACACACATATATATATATCGCCGATAAACACATTGAGTGTTCTTTTGATATATAATAAAAATTCTCATAATATACTTCTTATGTACTCTCTGTTATATATTATTAAAAAACATTATTAATATCAAAATTAATTTCTAAACATGTTAAATTACCATAAAAAAATGTATCACACAAAACTGAAAAAATAGAATAAAATAAAATGAAGTCGAAATTACATTATTAAATATATTTGTTTATTAACTATTACTTAAGAAAAATCTATATTTTATAAAATAACTTAAATCGAGAAATTTTAATCGATATTAAAATCTATAATAATGTACATAATAATCTCTAAAATAATACCTAAAATCTATATAAGTGCACTTAGTTTGAAATGATTAAAAATATATCTAAGTGAATAGTTTTTATCGGTTATCTGCGTATCTAATTAGTATATTTCCTTTATATGTTTAAAAATATCTTTTTAAATTAGTTTTGTATTCAAATATGTAGTGTCTTTTAATTACAGTTATCTATTTTTTTCATATTTGCTGGTTTTTTGCGATCGTTTTAACTAAATTCAAACTAAGAATATCAACAAATGTGTCTTCACTTTTTATCCTTTCATGTTATATTTCAAATTCGTATAAAACATTTTCAAACATTTATTTATTAATTTTTTATTATTTGAAATTGCAATAAGCATTATAATATAAGAATTCTGTATAGATTTAAATATATATAATTTCAAAATAAATGTTTTACACAAAATTCATTATAATCCCGTGATGAATGTTTTACTTACCAGATGCTTACAATAAAAACTGTTAATTAGAAATATATTAATACAATTTTGGCAAAAATTTGACAATATTTTCATAAAGCTATTTCACATTGAAATATAAAACAAAAATAAATATATAATATTGAATTTCTGTATGGAATTAATAAATATGTTTAAAATTCAATCTTTTAATATTTGATTATTCCAATAATGAAAATACAATACAATGATATTTTCCATTTATGAAGGGAAATTTAAATATCCTCCTAGTCTTTTTATTATTGTACATCTTAGGCTTGAACTTTTTTTATTATTCTAATAATGGTTTATTAAAATGGCCGCTCATTATATTTATCTGTAAAGCTACTTTCCCTCTCTCTCTCTCTCTCTCTCTCTCTCTCTCTGTTTTACTTTTTCAATTTAAATTTAATTTTATTTGTATTTTAATATTTCTCAAATTTTTCATACAAAAAACATTTTTCATACAGAAATTAGAGTGGAAATATATCTTGCCGCTTTCGTTGTTTGCATTATACAATAGTGATTATTTTTATATAAATCAAGAAATACGATGTCGAATTTGCATTTTGAATTTTTATTTTTATAATCATTATGAAAATACTTTGACATTTGAGCTAAAAATGGACTCGTTTATATTAAATGCTGGAAAAAAATTAATGAGATAGAACAGAAACGAGGAAAAGAGAAGAAAGAGAAAGAGAGCTTATATTACTATATTTATTATTAATTGTAAATTATATATGTTTAAATACATAGATCCTATGTGAAAATTATTGTGTATGTATGTGTTTATCTTCAATATACAATTTATTTTGACACTTACTGAATTTAAGAAGTTTCTTGATTTCTTAATATTCTTCATTCAATTTATCAATAAAAAAAACATATAGATGAATATACGTATTTATTGAGAATCAACAATATGGTCCATTAGTAAGTGGTAAAAAATATGATTTATAAAGTGTTATATTTATATAAAGTAAATATAGTAAATCCTGAATTATGAAATTTTTTCATTTACATACATACAAATACAGTACATTTTATTCGGTCGATCTATATCATAGGGCACTAATAATGTATATTTATAAATGCATTTGATATTTCTTACAATTTCTATAATATAAAATAGTCCCCTGCACTGATCTATACAGAAAATTATAAATGTGCTTTTAAGTTATAATTTACCGAACTATGACGGTTAATTAATTCATTAATCCCGCTGCAATATTTCAATAGTTAGTAAATTCTTAAAATATTATTCTATATGAATTTTCAATAACTTAATTTTATTTTTAATCATCGTAAATATAAAAAGCGAAGTTTAAATTTTAGATTTTCTATTGAGTTTTACAATAACAGTACCCTTCTAATAGCTTAAAATTATTAATTTATGAATGCTGCTAAAATTAGATGCAAGAAATAATTGAAAGTGTAGATAATAAATGAAAGGGTAGATGGTTATACATTTGGAATAATGTCAGAATAATTAGTCGTGATGAAACGTGGTTCCTGCCGCTGTTATACTTGACCATCTAAGTTGACAGTTGGCTGAATATGCCTTGCAGCCTGACAAGCCATTTCTACGCTGAAATGTCTATAAGATATATATTCTGGTGGCATTACTTGTTGATCTCTCTTTGCTGCTTCCCGTTGCTTTTTCACCTAGAAAGATCATTTTTAAATGTCAAATAAACATATGTTTCTGTTCATTATTATGTGTCATATAATTAAATCTGTATATTTATGTTTTTTTATTTACCCAAAAACAGGTTTCGGTAAATGAAAGATAAATCTTTTTATTAAATCGTTACTTAGGAATAGAGTTTTTCGATTATATTTTGGTAAATTATTTTCTAAAACCCTGAGAAATTGTACCTTTCACATTTTCAATTATTTTTTAAATAATATCAATAAAGAATAGCTGTAATAATTTATTTATTGTATAAATTACAATATTATTTTTAAATAAATCTTCTATTTAAGAAGTAAAAATAGAATATATTCAAAAGTAAATATATTGATTAAAGTTTAAAATAAAGTAAAATATCTTCTAATTATAATATAAAAAAATTATTATATGCTTTATAGTATATTTGTCTATATTAATAATCAATAAAAAATATTTAATTCAAATTATGTTGTATATGAATTGTAATCTAAGTAAATACAAGACTTTATTTTAATTAAACATGTAAATTTCACAGAAATGTATAAATGTTTAGATACAGCTACTTATTTTTTATTTCATTAGAAAACTTACTTTTAGATAACCAAGGATAGTAATCAGAACAATAAAGACAATGAATCCCATGCAGCATCCAATGATTAATCCCAAACGCCTGGTGAGAATACTGTTATTTATGTTCTCGGAAGCGTTGTTACTACTTAAAGAAGAATCGTCAATTCTAGATATCGCATCTTGTATGTCCAAAGTAAGCGTTTCTGTACAATGCGATATTGACGTATCCAATGAGTTTGACAATATTGATTTCTTAATAGAAAAGTTGTTATGCGAGTCATTAAAAAACGGCTGATGTAGATCTTTAATGATTTCATCGTCTTTTACTAAAATCTGTGAGTTCATCCAATTGCTAAGGCCCATAACACATACACGATAACGCGTATTCGCTAATAATTTGGTAAGTCGTACAGAGCGTGAAGTTGCCTCTAATATTGTACTGTGTATCTATGTGTATGTATTAAATTAGAAATAACTATTGTTATTAAAGTAATTCAATAATCATCTGTAGCAATTATTAAAAAAAAGAAAATTCTTAAAGGTTGTAATATTAATTATTTCCATTATTTATACATTAGTCATTTAAAATAAAGATTAAAAGTGTGTGTTTGAATGTGTTTTTACGTTCGTGCATGTGTGTTCGTGTATGCGGGCGTGAACATGTGAAAGCGTGTCTGTGTGCGCGTGCAGGTATTTGTACGTTCATGAGCACGAGAAGGTGAGTATGTTAAAAAAAAAATATATATATATATATATATATACACACACACACACATATATATACACAAACATATATATATATATACATACACATGCACGTACACGTACACGTACACATACATACGTATTGAAGTAAAGTTGAATAAATATTAATTAATAGAAAAAATGTTTGTTAATTGATATCATTAATAATAATAATAATAATAATAATAATAACTCTATTACCTCGTCAGAATTATCAAGAGCGTAAAAAATGACTTCGTAGCCATGAACACCAGAATAATTCCGGCTCTGCCAGGATACGAGAATGGAGTATGGTTGTATATCCTGAATAGAAACTTTTGGTATTACAGGTGCCGAACAAAATTTACGAGGTTCAAGATCAAGAAACACAAGGCCCCGTAATTCAGGCGGTTGATCACAACGCAAAAAACCCGTTATATAATTCGTATTTATTCCGTTTGAATGTTGATTCCGTATATGATTATTATCACTTTCTCTATCGCCTCCATCACTACTACTCGACCTAATAAGCTTTTGATGATCTCTTAACCACTCCCAAAGTTCTTGAGATTCACAATTACAGTGCAAAGGATTTTCTATGTAAAATAAATATAATAAATAGTTACTTCTTATTTGTATACAAATAATATAAAGTAAACAATAATGTCAAATAATAATTAATCTATCTAATAAATAGAAATTTATACTATATAGTATTTTATAAATTTTTATTAAAAAATAATTAAAAGTATCTAGTAAAATAAATTTTTAATTAAATAATTAAACTTGAAAATGAATAATAATGTAAAATGAAAATGTACAAACTTAATAAGAAATTTAGTAAATTAAGATTTTGTAAAGTAAAATATATTATTCACAATATAAATAAACCAATTTTATATGTACCTTCTGTTAGTAAGCTTTGAATTTGAGTTTCTAAAGGCCTGAATGCATTTACTGGTAAACTTTTTAAATAATTTTTACTCAAATCAAGTATACGTAATTTTACGAGACATTTAAAAGCGTCCACCGCAATATTTGAGATCTGATTACCGAGTATGTAAAGTTCAGAGAGATTTTCTAAATACTGAAAAGTGGTTTCTCTAATTTGATTGATCTGATTAAAGGATACATCGAGTACCTGCAGTGTTTTAAGATCTGATGGAAAGTCCTCTAATTCCTGCAATCGATTATACGTCAAATTTAAAAGTCTTAAGTGTTCAAGACCTTTTAAACATTCTTGTGGTAAAACCTCCAGTTTGTTAATGCTTAAATCGAGCGTTAGAAGTTTTGGTAGATAAGAAAAGGCATCAGGGGATATTCTATAAATCATATTACTATTTATAAATAAATGTAGTAATTCGGAAAATGCCTCAAAATCATGAGTTGCAACTATTGTTAAATTTGTACGACTAATATGAATTTCTTGTAGTGCTGGGTACTTAGATTTGGAACTAATTTCATGTATTCTCATAAGTGGATTGGCAGTTACATTCAGCCAGTCTAAACTGGGAATGTTTTGGGCAGATAATGCAATTGTAGGGATTTGATGCAACTTATTACCGGCAAGGTCAACTTTGCGTAGTACATTTGAATTTATAAAGAAATTTTCAGGTAAGGAAGTCAAATAATTGTAACTGAGATCAATAAAAGTTAATTTTATAAGTTTAGCTTCGGAAAAACCTGTTAATAACTTTATCTTATTTTCTCTTAGATCCAATTCTTGAAGATTTATAAGACCATGAAGTCTCGATATGTCGACAAGAAAGATAATATTGCGAGCCAACGACAATGACTCAATCGATGAAGCATTTATAAAAACGTTATAAGGTATTTCCTGAAAATAATTATCATCGAGGTTAATTTCTTTGAGAGAATCTAAACCAAAAAATATGAATGGTGGTAATGATTTTAGTTCATTCTTCCTCAGTAATATTTTAACAAGATTTTTGTTGCGTGAAAAAGAGTTTAGTGGTATTTTATAAATTTTGGAAGATTCAATTGATAAATGTTGCAATGAAGGAAGTCCGTCAAAAGACTCACTTTTAAGGCGACTAAAATTGTTGTATGATATGCGTAATATACGTAGTCCTGGTATAATTAGATTATGAAGAATATCTGCTGCAAGATGATTGTGGTCTAAATTTAATTCATAAAGATTATTTAAGCCACGAAATGCACTAGTATCAATGATGGCTATTGAACAATTATGTAAATTTAAACTTCGAATAGGTAAACCCTCTTGGAATATAGTATCGTGTAAACCGCTGAGCCAATTATTAGAAAGATCAAGAACTCGTAGTCTTTTGAGCGAAATAAGGGCATATGCATCAAGATTACGTAATCCATTATCTGTAAGATACAGTTCTTCAAGCTCTTGAAGATCAGAGAATGTTTTGACTGTTATGTGAGTTAATTTGTTTAAACTAAGATCTAAAAATTTAAGAGCCTTCATCGGTTGGAAAGCGGTATCTTCAATTTTTGTGATTGAATTACTGGTAAGATATAATCGTTCAACAAGAAATAGATCTCGAAAAAGTTGAGCTTGTAGCCTTGTAAGTCGATTATGGCCGAGCCACATAATTCGTATACTAGTCTGATCTTTAAGTGAATCATTATGTAAAACACCGAGACCATTATTATCTAATTGAAACGAAATAAGTGATCTGGTGCCACTTCCTATTGACTCAGATACTTGAAAAACATCACCAAGAACGGCAAGTAAATTACCTTGAAGATTAACATGTTCCAGATTATGCAGTGACCTAAAAGCACCAGTTTCAATATCAGTTATAGCGTTATTCTGTAGGTGCAATTCAATAAGTGAAGACAATGGTGTAAATACCCCCCTTTTTATTTCACGGATTAGGTTATCTTGCAATCGAAGCTCACGCAACTGTTTGGTTTTTGCAAATGTACCGATTTCTAGTTCACGAATTTGGTTTTCATCAAGACTAAGAGTTGAAAGATTTTCACAGGTCTGTAAAAAATCACGAGGAATATATTGAATATAATTGCTACTAAGATGTAGTTGCGTCAACTGCTGGAGACTGCTTAAACCTAGTGGATTTATTCGTCTAATTGCATTCTGCTGAAGATAAATAACTGATAGACTAACACTACCAGAGAATGCATAGGCTGGAATTTCAAGAATATTGTTTTCAACTAAAAAGAGTTCCTTAAGCTCAGGAAGTCGTGCAAAAACACTTCTGATGTAGTGTATATGATTATAACTAAGATCGATAGATCTGAGTTTTTGATTCGCACGAAACGTTGATATGTCGAGAAATATAATTTTATTGTGGCTGAGATCAATTGATTCTAAGGAAATTAATGATATAAAAGCATCTTTATCAACACTTTCAATAGAATTATAATACATAGAGAGCGTTTGTACGGATGGACAGCATCGAAAACAATTTAATGGAATAATAAAAAAATTATTGCTACTTAAATCTAAAAAGCTAAGATTATCAAGACGTGAGTAGCCATCTTCGGGCAACTGAGAGATTTCATTCCACGCAAGCGTCAATACGGCAAGAGATTCAAGCCGGCGAAGAGCTGTCATTGGAAAAACTCGAATTTTATTTTCAGCAAGGTTCAAATCTGTTAAAGTATCTTCGAGTCCAGCAAAAGCATATTCTGAGATTTTAATAATTCGATTACCTTTAATATTTAATTTTCTTAAAGAAAGGCCATAAAAGCTAAAACTTGGAAGATCATGAATGAGATTAGCTTCAAGATCAAGGATTTCAAGTTGTTTCAATGGTACAATAGCTTTTTGTGGTACATTCGATAATTCTCCAAAAACAATTGCTAGAGATTCCAGACTATGACTAATTTTTTTAAAAGCATCTTCCGTTACTCCACGTAGACCAGAATGTGAAATTTGTATGTGACGAATGAGAAAATCATCTGAGAAAATATTATTACGAAACTCTTCAACTTTACGATCAAGTTCGTATATGTTTAATGATTGTATCACTGCATCTATAATATATAAATCTTATTATATATTTTTTTATATTAATTGCAATTATATTATTTAAACAAAGTATAATAAATTTCATTTAATAAAACATTATAAAAATATTAATAACAATAAAATGAATTTAATTGCTTATTTTAATTATTTTACAAACATAAAGAACATCGTATATATATATATATATATAAAGTATAGCTAACTGAATTTATGTTAGTTATAACTGTGTAAGCCATAAATCTATAGATTACTAAGCAATGATATATATAACAAAAATTCATATTTTCAATTAAAAGAATAAATGTCAATCTGGATAGATATATTTAAATAGTTTAATTTTTTTCAAATAAATACATTTTAATCTAAACTATAATCTATTACAAAATTTATTAGTTATTCAATTACCAGTAATTAATGAAATAATTTTTTATTTTATCTTTATGGTTTAAAATTTATTTAAGTAATAAATAAATTTAATTGAGAAAAGCAATTTATACTGCAAAAAAGAAATCGAACTAATTTATCAATCATCTTTACCAAATATACTTTGTTTTCGTATCTATCTTACATTATTTAATTAAAATATTTAAATTTATTTATTTATTATAAGGATTGTTAATTATACATAATATCATTTTTGTTTCATTTTTACTTAGCAGTAATGTATGATATTTTATAAACACATTATTATTGATTGATAATTTAGTATTATTTATCCTACACTAATATATTACTAATAATTAACAAATACTCTATTACTAATAATTCGTTAATATATCTAACTACATAATTTATGACACGCAAATAAATGATGTTTTTCAGTACTAATATAATACTATTGTAATATAATATAATTGAATGAATCGTATATAAAAGATTATAACTAATGATAAATTGTATTCTAATAAAATATAAAAAATTACATCCAAATGATTAATGCATAGATCTGTCTTTACCATAGGGTTTAGCCTGATTAAAAATCCGAGCTAGCGCGTTTTTAAGTGTCTCCTCTGTGGAGCCTGTACATTCGAGAAAAAGACCATTGGCAAAGTTATAACAAGGACAACCTTGAAGAGTATTAACTGGTGGACAGTGAGCCGTTGACGGTAGAACTGCACTGTCGATATACACACACATGCATATCAACAAAAAAAAATAGATTATTCTTAGTTGATCAAATTCTAATTTATTTACGATACTTTTTCCAATTATCAATTCCCAATTGCACTTATCTCCTCCATATTGCCAAATTATCCACATCATGGGACTCCTGTCTGCTGCAAATTAAGCATCATTTTACTTCAAGCAATCTCTATTTTTCGATAGTCATCTCCTCGCTCTGTAAGTACAAGCAAAGATGGTTAAAACATTTTATATACGTTCGTATGTACTAGTTATGGAAGAATATATTTTTCATCTACCGTAATAATGATATAATATTGTTAATGGAACGTTCGCTATATTTCTAATTCAATTGTTATCTTTATATTTATATAATTTCCTTTAAAAAAAGTTGTTCAAAATTTCAAAAATAAAATAAAACAACTGAATATAATGATAATAAAAATTTTTTTTCTATGATATATTTTCAAAATATTTTCTTTTTATAATTTATTATTAATAATCAGTTTATATACTGTTTAAACAAGAAAATTTTCATAAACAATCTTAATAAATTCTGAAACAATTTCTTATCGTTTTTACTATCTTTTCCACGCAATTTATTTTAGCTGTAATATGGTTTTGATTTTTTCCTTTTTTGAAAAAATTGCTACACGTGCCACATGAATTGGGTAATGAGTAATGGGTAAAAGTAGCATATATATATATATATATATATAACGGAAACCATAGTAATAAAAAATAGCGTAGATTCTTGAAACAAATAAGCAATTTTTTTTATATATGTAGTTAATAATAATGCACATTATACATTTTTATAAAAATTTTGACTTCATTTACTCGTTGTGAAAAAACAAAGGCCAATTTTGTAATATATTTTATTTTAAGAAATACCATGTCACAAAATTTATATATATGACTTTTAATCCATAAAAGTTCTTAAATTATATATTTATTTCATCATAGAAAAACAAAATTTTAAATAAGGATAAATAAAATAATTAATCTCTAAACTAAATTACATTATTTACTTCTGTTGTATCAAAGGTAACGACTTTATTTTTTCCATTTTAATTATATCGAAAATTATTTAGCTTTTTAAATTTCATAATATATTATTATTATATATATATGTATATATATAATCCATCTGTATCTGATAAACAATGAGGTAAGAAAAAACAATATATTTTTTTTTAATTCTTAGTTGATAATTATTAAGTCAATGCCGTGTAAAATTTATGATTAACCCGAATATCATTTTTTTCTTAATAAATTAATTTAAATCTAGAAATTAAATATGTGGTTATTACAATTTAAATAATTTTTTACTTAATTTACGATTTCAAATGCATAATTTATTTTACCAAAAAAATTGAATTTTTTACTTATTTAAAAAGATATTATATATACTTACACTTAACATACATTAGCTAATTAAATAGTCATAAATATATTTTTCAAAGGCTTGTTCCTTCTATGAAACGAGTTTCTTAGTTGACTCTGTCTATAAGAATATCCCACTAAGATACAGTATGCGAATGACAAAGTACAACATTCAGCATTGTCTTATTTCAGTGAAATGCAAAGTTGTTTTATTGTGTATTTTTAAGATTAAGAAGGTCGAAGACTTATTCACTGTCTCTTATTGTTATATATGTTCTAATTTCTTTTTCATCAGAGATTTGCTTATAAGCTTGTTACACTTTATATATATGGATGATAGAACATTTTGAAGTCCCCTTAAATGTTTCTCTTCTCTGCTATGCGCGACAATTTTGCCTCCTATATGCCTCATCTTATAAAATTATAAATAATTGATGTATTATATTTATTAAAAAAAAATATAGGATATACTTAATAATGAATAAATAATAAAATTTGATTTTCTGAAATTTATAATTTATAATTTATTTGAAAATTGAAAATAAAAATTGAAGTTATCACTACAGTAATTAAAATTGTATATTAACATTTTTAAATATTTTAAAAATATTTCTTATATACATACAACATTGTTTTATTAAATTTAAATTACTTTTTTGGCATAAGATACATTTATTTAATAAATCAAACTTGGTAGATGTATATAAAAATAGGAATAAATTAATTATGATAAAAAATGGTATTTTACTTATCAGTATATTCTTATTCGATTGAGACTGAAAATTTCACTTTCACAACAAGAATTATTAATGAGATCTTATTATAAGTTTATTAAATTTTAAATAGGATTTTTTTTAATACCATTATAAAAAACAATATAGTTATATATGTTCGAAAGTTAATAATGATTGTAAATATATAAATGATTTTCAATATGGAAAATTCAGAGATAATCGAATTTATATAGATTGTGGAAAATTTTTAATTACATTAAATGTAAAATAGATGATAAATGTAAACAATATAAAAATAAAATAACAAAATGAATAAAAATGTAATATTTCATTATGTAATATTATTTTGCTTTTAAGTTTTATAGTTACACCTAAAAAATAGAAAATGAAAGCGTGTAGTTTGATAACTCAAATCATTTTATAATATTTATGTAATATGAACATTTTTCAGAATTCTATCCGTACAACCGATTTATATTCAAATCATATTAACTATCATTCCATATTTTTTTCATGATTATTGCATGACCAAACGTGTTCGCATCATAATAATTATATGTTATTAAGATAATTCGTTATTGTATATGAATTAGAAAAAATATTTGGATTATTAATTTAAAAAGTTATATCCATATACTGAAATAATTGATTTCATGGTTTTCAAAATTTCAATTGAAAATTGAATACTGAAATCGTGGTTTTAAATAACGACTTTATAAAATTTTTTTAATATTTACTTTATTTTAATAGTTATTTATATAAACAATTCGTTTATTGCTTATTTTATTATTTGCTAACTTTCTGGCGTTAATATATTTTAGCAAATATAATAATAACAATTATTAAAAATAACGCAAAAAAATAATGCAGTTACAATAACTATTCAATCTTATGTTTGCTTTTCTTTATATATTGAATATAAGTAAAATTTGTGGAAATTGTTTAAAATTATATAAAACATAATATTATAGAAAATGCAAAAATATAAAAAAATGAGCTGAATTATAAATAAAATTCAAATATCACATAAATCATGCTTGAAATTAAAAAAGTTTAGTAATAACGAAAGCAACCGAATGAAAAATTTACTATGGATTAACCGAACTAATAAACCTAATAGTATAAATGTAAGTACTAACTGAGTTTTATTTATAATAAAAAAGGAGTAAACTAAAAACGTGGTTTCACTTTTTGCTTTTAAAATAATTTTCATTGGCCCATTTTTTTCTTTTTTTTATATATATACTTTTTTATTTTTTATGACGTACATTATTCTGCTACAATATCTTTTACAACATAAGCAAAATTCAAATATCCGATAGAAAAAGTTATATCTGCTTCTTTAGATTTTAATTTTTTATTTACTTCAAATCTTCATTATTTTATTGAAATAATTATCTGTTAATAAAATATAATTGCCATAAAAAATCAACATTAATATAATTGGTTGAATATTAATCAATTTAATTAAATTGATGATTAGATAGGAATACTGATGGTAATACAAATAATTCATTAGTATACTCCTAAATTCATATATTCAAAATTATTTAAAATGTCAATCCTGCATTAATTCAAAATAAAACAGTTGTTTAAGTATTTGGATATTTCGAATAAGTATAATTGTATCTGTAAAATGAAAGAAATAGAGTATAAGAATTGAATGATTTAATCAGGGTGAATATTCAATTATTAATTAAGTTTATTTATTTTATAAAGGAATATAAACATTTTTTTAAAATAATTTATTTCTTAAGAATATCATTAAACAACTGTGTTATCACGATGCTTAATAATAATAAACAAAGATTCTTATTAAATTGTATTAAATATTGTATAATACTTTTGAAATAAAGCATTTAAAAAAAAATGTTCATTAAATCATATACGATTTATAAAAATTTTCTATACTATTGTCAAAATTAACAACAAAACATTGATATTATATAGATATTTGGTATTATTAAACAATTCATTATTCAGATTTAAAGAAAAACAGAACTTGAAAGTGACCATTTTACTAGCTTTTTTATTTTTTTAATTTTATTTTAGCTTATTATTAATTATTATATATTTGTTTTGAAACTATGTGTTAGAATTATTCAAATATTATTGAGTGCAATAAATAATTAAATGAAAGAATTATTACAATGAAAAATATTAATTGTAAAACATTACCATAAAATAAATTACATTTACTATTATTATGAGTATAGGTTTTTCTGAATTTATAAAAGAAGTCGTATATAAACCAAGTAGATATACAGTAGAAGTTCTTGAAATTTCAAAATTTTATTAAAATTAGTATTTGAAACAATGAGTCGTAAAATTTTGTTAGTCTACAGTAATAATATTTTATTAGATTGTTTTGCAGAGCCTCTAATATATATTGTTCTCAATCACTTTAAAGCCAGTATTGAGTAAAAATGGTAACATTGAACTTGATTTAAACTTGATTTTAATGTACCAATAATAAGTTAAATAGCCATTAATTTCATCAAAATTGTTAGTCATCAATTTATTCTTTGACATAAAATATAAAAACTTTTTTATTTTTAATATTTTCTTTCATATATTATATAATTTAATTTATTTTTCGGGCAAAAAAAATACAATAAATTGGTTTCGCTCCTTTGATAACATAAGGAAATAAAAAATATTATTGTTATATGAAAATTATGTCTATTTTCACAGCTGTTTATAAAGCATCGATCGGATCTTTTAAAAGTAGAAAATATTTGTTCACTTATAAACTAAAATTTAAAAATCTGTGTATCGATTTAAAAAATCAAATTAATTTTTCTTAGGTATTGAACGAAAAGACAAAAAAATAAATGTAGTTTCTACTTTATTTTCAGTGATAAAAAGAAATTATGTTACTAAAAATAAAGTGATAAGTGAAGAATGATAAAATATATTACTTCAAAT